TTCTTCTTCTTCTTCTTCTTCTTCTTCTTCTTCTTTATAAGAGGAAGTGTCCATCACCTGAAGACGTGGTTTTCAGAGAGCACCTCTATAAAATAAAGAAGTACAAAACAAATATTCGAGAAAATAATGAAAGAATTTTTTGTTTGCCGGCCAGAAAACTTGTGGATAAAATGTACAGAAAACAGAATACAGCACCAACCCGAACAATGTCCAATACTGTCTTTCGAATGATTTCTGCTCAAGTTGTCGAAATATGCGTTAGATCAGCAACAGCAGTCTTTCTCACTTAAGTTAAACTAATTTCTCATCGGAACGATCCTGCTACACTTACTAAATAGTCAAGAAGCAGGTTTTGTTACAACGACTGAGAGATGTACACTACCTGTGTTGCTTTTCATTACCAGGCCGGCCTTGATTTCACGGCCAACAACATCACGGGCGGTGGCAAGTACCTTAGAAAGTTTGCAAATTGGGCCTCGACACGAAACAAGCCTGAAGGAGAAGCTGAACATTACGATCAAGCCGCCATGTTGACAAGGTTTGTACCTGCGGGTAATACATGACTTATGTGTAATATGAGGGGTAAGGAGATAGGAAGAGGGGAGGAGTGGCTCACATTTTCATCACCTGAAAGGGGTGACATAAGACTAGCCCGCATGCGGGTTTCCTTTGTTGCAGGCTACAGCAGCCCTCATGAGAGCCATTTAAAGTGTCTCCAGGGAAGCCGACTGAGGCGAAGAAACCTCCTTTCTCAGGGTAGGCTCAGGGTCTAGCCGTGAATTTTTCTGTGCGCCTGTAAACACCCACTGCTGGAAACTGAGCCTATTCACATGGGAGCAATGCTATAAGGTCCAAGTTGTGTTAAAGTACAATATTATGAAGTGTTTGTTGTCTTTCTGTAGGAGGCTCTGCGGTCTCAATAGCTGTTATATAGATGGTAAGAGAAATAATTATGTAATGCACGTTTAAATAGTGTAATATTCTACCCTGGGTATCGTTATTAATGACATGGTAATGGCCTGGGACAAGCCTAAGACCAGGCGAAAATAGAATCGGACAGCTAGAGCAAGCCCGACTTACCCGTTGGGTGAGGTAATGGGTCGCCAACCTCTTTGCGTTCACGACCTCAAGTAGAGTGATGGGGTGGAACACTCCTAAGGTACTTTATACTGTCATTTGCATAGTCCCTTCATTTAGGACTAATTTTGTTGCATTTTGTCAGCACCTTACTTTTCCAACTGATGAAATCTATGAAACTGTGTCTATTTTTTTTTTCAGGACTGGCGTATTTAAATACGCCATGTGATAGGAAATATGGAGTGAGTGTAAATGACGCCAGTGGTTTGACAGCAGCGTACTCTGTAGCACATGAAATGGGCCACAAGTAAGACTGCGATAACTTCAATCGTTAGTACGCGCGCTGTTGATTGGTCAATTTAGCGGGCCGTATTCTCCTGTACGGCCCGCTAAAATTTACTACGTAACTTACAGTACGGACCTCGAACCCGGTTAGTAAGAGGTATTAGAAACCCATTTGGGTTCCTAGATCGGGAGAAAACTACCATATAAAAAGAACGGGGTGCTCTTTGTACCTTTTAGAGGTTAAAAACTCGGTTTTGGTATCTATTAGGGTGTTCAGCCTCAAAAGGTCCACAGCGGGAGCTTTTAACGTTTTAGGGTAATGAGCTCAAAACATATGACAAGAGATATTTGACACTCAACGTTTTGAGTAGAAGGTATTCGAAGCAATCGTCTTTATCGCTATTTGAAATTACGGAAGAGTCAGTTAATGTGTTGATTTAGACTTGGTGCCTCTAAGGGGTGAAAGACATTTTAAGCCACGCCCACAAAACAGGGGTTCTTTTCAAAATTTCCGACGAGCACCCCCGTCCTTTTTATATGGGCTCTGCCCCCCCCCCCCCACCACCCCCGGGTTAGTTCTAGATCTCCTCCAACTATTCACTGAATGCCTTTTGACGAGCAAACAGTAGCTTCATGGCGCTGGATCTACCTATGTGCTCTAGCCTAGCTGGAGAGAATAACAAACAAACCCACATAGATTGTTGGAAAAACTTGGAAATCGGAGGAAATAATAGCTGACAATTCAACAATTTTCTTCATGTTTGGAGCAGCCCTGTCGCGTCATGAGGGTGGAAAGGCCGGGACACATGGAAGATTCAAAACCTTTTGACTGATACTCTATCTCATTCAGTAATTCCTTTAAAACACGTGTTCACTTAAATATATGACTATCAACAAATTAACGATAAGTTATTTTTCTCTCGCAATTCCGGAGGTCGCGGGTTCAAGTCCCGCTCTGAGCACTTAGCTGGAGTTGTTTCCTGGTAGACCTTAGTTCAACTCCGCTATCATGCTTGTAAATAGCCAACTGGTCTGTCTCCGGCCAGCTGGGATCTTTAAGCCTATTATGTTTAGTTGATATATTTGTTTCTTTCAGTTTAAGCGGCATACCTGTGAACTAGCTGGATGTAGCTAAGCGCATTGACCACTATAAACAACAGCAGTTTCTTTTTAAAAAAACAACAAACGGTTGGGATTTCTCCCCGGCACAGCTAGCGTACACTATGTTCTCAAACGTTATTAATTAAGTTCAGTCATCATCAATTTGGTTTTGGTTTCCAATCCTGTAATCTGCTTTTCCATTCAGCTTGGGTTTGGGACATGACAGAGGAGGTGATTGTGCCAAGGGATATATCATGCAGGGCTCCCAGGCCGCAGGTTCCAACGCACATCGTTGGTCTCCCTGTAGCAGAGACAAATTGAGAAAAATATTTACGTAAGTTTATCTACGTTTCTTTTTTCTCCATTGGTTCTTCTCATGGTGAGGCGTTGGCCTCAGGTTTAGTGCGCTCGACTATAGATAGCGAGCGGTATGGGTTTGAGCCCTGGCCGGCGACATTGTGTTGTGTTGGCAAGACATTTTACTCTCACAGTGCCTCTCTCCACCCAGGTGTATAANTAACCCTGCGATGGACTAGCATCCCATCCAGGAAGGAGTAGAAACACTCCTTATCGAAGATGAGCGTCGGCTTGATCAGCCACTTGGCTCCTAAGCAGACTTAAACCTTTATATGAAGAAATGATATAATGTCATGTCTTCATATCGTGTCTTCGTATCTTTCTCCGCAGTTCAAATTTATGATCATTCATATATTCACTTGTATTAAACCTTTATCTTTAACATCTTTCCAGGGAACACACATGTTTCCACAATAAGCCTCCTAAACAGCTTCCCAGTCCCACTCTTCTTCCAGGCTATACCACTGACATAGACAAACAATGCCAGATGGCGCACGGAGAAGAATATAGAGGATGTTCTTCACAGAAAGTAAGTTTATCTAATCCCCATCATTTTTACGGAATTTTTTACTTGAATTATCTCATGTTTCAATGTCAATAGCTAAAAGATGCTTACGCCCACATTTTACGTTGGAACTGACATTTTGCGTCATTGAATTGTAAGGATTTGGTCAACACCTTCAACACTAACCTACGTTTGAATGCAAAAAAATAGGAAATTATTTACAAGCCTGCTTATAAGTGTCACGCATCCGAACTTATCCCTTGTCCCTGTAAACACTAACGCATAATATTAGCGGCAAATCCGGGGGGATGGTATTATCCAAGCGGGGCGTGGGAGTGGGGGAAGGCGGAATTTAATTGACCCTGTTACATTACAAAAGGGGGGATCGAGGGCGAAAAATATTCGACTCTCTGAGATTTTTATCTTATAAACAAAAATGTGGATGATTCATGGTTGGTGCTTGGGGTACCTATTAAATCGCGGTAACTTCTGATTTATATTTTATCTTTTTTTAACTTTTATTTTTAAGTGGAGCTGCGGCGTCCTTTACTGTACAAAGGGAGGGAGCTGCTACAGCCGAGGAGCCCCTGTTGCTGAGGGAACTGTGTGCGGTATTAGGAAGGTAAGAATATAATTAAAGCAAGAAGGTTCCGAGTAAACTATAGTTGAATGCGCGCCTGGAGGCCGCCGTTTGCCTATGGCCAAATGGTCCACGTGCACGTAATCAAAACTTATCCTGGTCCCCTTCCCATGAAACAATTTTCAATATTGCTACTCCCCCCAGGACAAAATGCTGCTAGATCATCGTTGGTTAGCACCTGGCACTTTGTTAGGCTGCCGTGCCTCAAAAAAGAAGAAAGGCAATAGAGAATGAAATGACCTACTCCAAAACACAACGCAATGGTCCTAGCAAGCTAAAATGTTGTAGAACAAAGTCAAACACTGTTTATCTCTGGGCCTAGATTCTAAATAGTGCCGTTTTAAGTTAACCAAGACCGCTGAATAAAAAGACTAAAGACGCATACGTACAGAGTTAGTCTCGATCAGATGTAAAATATTCGCAAATACCATAAGACCATGAACAATGACACTTCTGTGTATTTTTTCAACCTACGTTTCATCATTTTCCTGCCGGTATTTAGTGAATAGTTTACTTCAGATTAACACTGTACACAGATGAGCCTTTCCTCATTTTATTCAGAAACTGGACTATTGAGTTTCTCTTTGTATCTGCGAGTGCGCCTTCGCGCAATGTAAAATAGAACTAAAGTTCATATCATTATTAATCTTGTGCTGTTTTCTTTGTCTCTTTGTTTTGTTTTAAGTGGTGCCGCGCTGGAATCTGCACTGATGTAGGACCAAGTTTGCCGCCACCAGTTGATGGTGGGTGGGGTCGCTGGGGATCCTATGGTGAATGTACCAGAACTTGCGGAGGAGGGGTGAAATATCGAAGTCGACAGTGTAACAATCCCAAGTAAGTCTGTGAAACCCTAAACGTTTTGCAAGAGAAAATGCTCGTGACGAAATTTATAATGGCGCCTTCACATATACCTGCTGTGAGTCCAGGAAGCAGAGGTCAACTTATTGACCAAATGGTTAAAGTCCTGGCCAAACAGACTCGCAAGTAGACTCAAGTTGAAATAAAACTTATATATATGTATGTATATTTGCGAGTTCGTTTGGACAGGCTTACGTGCACTTGCGTTGACTTGCGATGATTTGCGCTCACTTTGATCGACAACAAATTTGCACTCAAGTCGACGCAAGTTTTTCACCGTTTGGCCACTCAACCCAAGTCAACGCAAGCTGAGTGACCCCCATCCGCGTTGTTATAGCAACCTATTAGCCGGTGAAATACAGGATTTTTGCCGCGCGGAACTAAGCCCGTAATGTACTTGCGAGGAAACTTGCGAGTTCATTTGGCCACCCAACGAAGTCCCTATGCAAGTTCAACTTGCGGCTACTTGCGACTATTGGGAGTCCGTTTGGCCAGGGCTTAATACTTCTACCATTGCAATGTTGACGAAGTGATTCTTTGTTTTTGTTTCTTTCAGACCTCAATACTACGGAAAACCTTGCAAGGGATCTTCAAGAGGACACTTTAGGCTATGCAACCCTAAGGTTTGTCACCCAGATTTCATGTGGAATAAACGTCAATTACCAACGGCCCGTGTTATCTTTTTAAATCCAATGTTATAATGTGCTCTCTAAAACTCTAAACATCTTTTATAGGAGTGCAAAATTGAACGCTTCCGTCTCGAGCAATGCGAAGAACACAACACTAACACCACGAAATACCGTGCTCACTTTTTGGGAGGTATGGTTACTAGTTATGCAATTAACAGTTTGTGTTTTATGCGGTTTTTTCGTTATTTCATACCAGTGGAGTGCGGAGTAAAGTCCACTGTGTGGACCTGTTAAGCCAGAGTGACGCTTTACCTACTTTACTACAAGTACCCTTTTACAGCAGAACTTACAATTAGACCTTTTTTTAAGATAGCAGCTTTCAGCAGGTATCCTGTTTTAGCTTACTGAAATTTATATTCATTCTAAAGTATATGTTGCTTGTAATGAAGTATGGTTTAGCTAGTAGAATCTTGGCCAGGAAAACTTGTCTCTGTTTACAGACAATCGGTGACAACTGTACTAAAACTTCCCTACGGAATTTCGCAAACCTTATGATCTTGAATGGCAAAGGATTATATTAAATAAAAAATATATTAAACTAATTGATTGTTAAATACCTTTTTGCCTTGTCCTCAGGATCAAGCAAGTGTACGTTAGCCTGTGTAACTGGAAGCACTGGATATTTCTTTGGCCACGTCAAGGATGGAACACGATGTGTAAGCAATCCGTATGTCTATGACGTATGCATTGATGGACAATGCAAGGTATGTACAACAACTTCGTCTCTGTTCGATGTATACTTCTCACACTCATTAATAATTCATCAAATTAAAACAAAGAAAATCACAACCGCGAAGGAGGTTCGGATACCCGGTCTTAATTAGCATGGATTTTGACGATTTTACTTCTCCGTTTATTCCTTAATTTTTGTTTCGACTGAGAAGATATATCAAACACTCGAGACAGTGTTTCATCGGCTATCCAATCACCTCGAATTTCGTCAAAAATACTCCGCTGCGCTTCGTATTTTTAACTCTCTTCTCGGTGTTTGGATATGCCGATAAAACAATGTCTCTCCCATTTGATATATTACCTGAATCTCTTTGAGTACACTCTGCAAAACCACCTTATCACCAGGCATTGGTGACAAATTTGCGCTTCTTTGCTGCTGGGATAGGTGTCCTAAGGGATTATAACTGGTATTGCAGCTTTCTCTATAGAAGTCACGATTTGAAAGTTGAAAAGCGAATCATTGAGTAAATTATCATAAATATACGTTGAGACTTAGAGAGTTTTTCTCACCCGAGTGTCGAAAGTAAATCCCCTTTTTATTTGATTTTGCATTACTACCCTGCGCGTTTGGCATTAAAATATCTCGCGCCACTTCGTCATCCAATCAGAAGTAAAGCCGAAACCAATCGTGACACATTCGCTCACTTTTTTACCGCGCTTTGTACCAGCTAGATGGATTTTTCTGACGCTTTGATGGGTTTACTGGATATTTCCTGCGTTCTTTGTGATTGGCCATTTGGTTTTAATCTCACGACACCCGATTGGAAAACATTCCAACACTCAGAATGGTTTGCTTTGTTCCCTTATGCAGGTTGTTGGATGTGATAAGACGTTGAGATCTAAAAAGGTGTTTGATCGATGTTTAAACTGTGGAGGAGATGGTGGCTCTTGTGTTTTGACACGCGGAACATACACAAAGCACTATAAAGTATATGGTAAAGAACAGCTCTAAATTTGTCCTATGTTCTAACTTACCCTGTGTATATCCCTTTCATCTTTCTTCGACGCTATGTTATATTTGTTGTAGGCTCAGTTCGCAACGTGAATGGATATTTTTCGCCAAAATTCTAGATACTTTTCATACATTAAATTTATGGCGTGTGGTGGTCAACTTTTATAAACGTACTGTACAATTCAGTTGTCATGGTTTATGTGAGAATTTTTTTGTGATATTTCCTTATCCGACACTGTGGAAAGAGAAAACGCATACAATAAATAATCATCAGTGAAAAATGGTTTCAATATAGATGTAGCAGTCGTCTTATTCGGCTTTTATATTCACTCTACGAAATTACGATCACTAATTTGTTTGTCTCGATGTATCCGTTAGGTGCCAAGAACGGTGACATCATGTTCACCATTCCAAAAGGAGCTACAAACGTCAGAATTGTCGAGATGAGCAAATCATACAACTTCTTGAGTACGTACGATGTAAAATTAATCATAGAAAAGAACTAGTAAACTAAAATACCAAAGTGGACTGTCAAACCGAGCTACACAAAGCACCTCTAAAAGTAGAATTGCCACTCTTATTACATTTATGTCAGTTAAAGCCCATACCGCTTAAAGGGATCAATGAACAGTGGACACTGGTATGGACGAAAAAAGGCTTATATATTGTCAATATGGGATATGACATGTTATCTAGGTTTACAAAGATACATTACACAAATGACACTTACATCCACAAAGATTTTCCTTGTCCTGATACTTAACTTGGTGATTTGTGTATGACTGATCTTAGACCTTCTGTCCTGCTATCCTTGATGTAATATATCAAACAAGAAAGACCGTGTTTGACCAAATTTCCAATCACTGAGAAGTGAGGTGAAAATACGATACGTAGCGGAGTATTTCTAACGAGTCTCGAGGTGTTTGGAAATGTGGTCAAACGCTGTCTTGAGTGTTTGATATATCTTCTAAATCGAAACTAAACATAAGGAAAAACGGAGAATTAAAATTGTAAAAATCTACGCTAATTAAGACCAGATATCCAAATACCGTCACTGTCATGATTTCCTTTGTTTAGGCTTGATGAATTAGTAGTGAGGACGTTAATCACTCACATTTTTTTCATCTGCATCACCATTCTTAAGTTTCTGAATATAATCTGGTGATCTCTTCATGTGTAGGTATAGTGTCAAACACGACAGGGACGTACTATGTTCCAGTGCCTAGCTGGACAAACACGTACAAAGCTGCCGGGACATCAATCTACCATTACATGAAAAAGTATAACGACGCGGAGATCATTTTCATCAGAGGACCAACCAATGAGGCTTTGGATGCCATGGTAATCGCGATTGATCCAAGTTTTACTTCTCCTTAGAATATTTGGTCGGTGCTAAGCCAACATTTGTGAGAATAAAGAAAATCATAACTTTTAAGACATTGTCTTGTTGTACTCACATGAAGTCCTTTCTCTAGATTTTCTCAATGTAGGGAACAATTAATTCCTATTACTAGTAACGTCTTGGGCTCATTTGCACTTTTTTGTTGTTATTTCCACAGTATGTATATTCAGGAATCCACGTCAATAACCCAGGTATTTCGTACAGTTTCTACGTCCCCGGAGTAGGGAAAAGCACAAAATTTCACTGGAAAGCAAGAAATGAGGGTGGCTGCAGCACCACTTGCGCCGGAGGTATAACTGTATTACTTGTTTTAAGGGTGCATCATCTTCCAAGAAACACAACCATATAGCGCCCACAATTGACGTTTAGGTATTCCTCGCTATTCAATAGCCAATCGTGTTGGGTGTGCCAATTTCATAGGTAAAGAAAACAAAAATTGCTTTTTCAGTTTGGCTTATGCACATGACTCCTTGCGTGTTCTGTGAAATAGTCTGATAAATTTCCTTTGTCTTCCTTAAGCTTACAGTTCACAATTTTACCACACAGAAGTTTCTTTAAGAATTAAAAATATACTTATGATAAAACTTCATGGACGCCTTTGGTAGAGATTTAATGTTTGTGGACCTGGCTAATCATGCTAGTCAGAGCTGACTGATGTTTCTTTGGGCCCAGGCCAAAGTCCGTTAGTCCGTTCATCATAGCCATAGCGAACGGAAGCATACTTTTAAAACTCTGAAAGCAAAGCATTTCATCACAAACTAAAGGTACAAAAATCGATGAATTGTGCAGTGAGTGACACCGGTGTACTATTAACGGATTAGGAACTAAATATTAAATGATTTGTCTCACTTGCTTTAAGGCGTGCAGCTAATCAAGGTCACGTGTCACCGCGACGATGATGAAACTGAAGTGACACCTGGTTACTGCAACAAGAGAACCAAGCCGGCGGTATCCAAGCCATGCAAGCTGGCCCCCTGCCCTAAAGAGTAAGTATAACCATAGTTAATAGAGGGAAATGGTTAAGAAGGTCGGTAAACATAAAAGAAACAAACAAACAGGCTAAGATGTGTGTTGGAAGGTCCTTGACCCTGCAATTTTTTTGTTTTATACCCATAGACTTATGAATTACATAGTCGCAATGCTTCTGTCGGGTAGTTGTATGAGCACACATAACCACCTGTTGTATTTCGCCAGGTTTTGTGCAGGGTTAACCCCTAGAATGGCCGTCAAAAACATAACACAAAGAACTTTGCCAGGTTTTATAACATTTCCCGCTATTAACTTTTTTGTATAACTATCATCTTATGGCTCTATTGACCTTATAAGTATTGATTAGTTTTGACTGAATGTTCGTGGAATCTTAGTAACCTTTTGCTTCAGATTTAGCCTGGGAGTCTGGAGCCCGTGTTCAGAGCCTTGTGGAGGTGGTCGGCAGCATCGCAACTTGACCTGCGTTCAAGTAGTTTCCCAAGATGTGACCAAAATTCTCCCCGAATCGGAATGCGTCCACTTGTCGAGACCCGCCAGTACACAAAAATGTAATAACGTAGACTGTTGGCAGAAATGGATCTTAGGGGAGTGGACGCAGGTTAGGCTTAATTACGTAATGTTGCTTCTTATTTGCTATTTTAAATTTAAACTGTCGTGAAGAGTTATTGCAGTTTTGCCTCTCATGGACGCAGCGTGGCCGAGTGGTTAGGCCGCCGGACTAGAAATCCGGAGGTCTCGGGTTCTAGTCCCGCTCCTGACCGTTAAGCTGGAGATGTTTCTCGGTAGACCTTAGTTCAACTCCTCAGTCATGCTTGTAAATAGCCATCAACTGGTCTGCCTCCCTAACAGTTGGGATTTTTAAGCCTATTATGTTTATTTTTTCTTTCTTTCAGTTTAAGTGGTATGCTTGAGAACTAGCTAGTTGTAGCTAAGGGCATCGACCACTATAAAGATCTATAAATATTCGACATTTAACATTTGTTTTCAACATACTGTGGTCAAAGTGCACATTTTGCATATCTCTCCTTGTATACTTCCAGTGTTCCGTTCTTTGCGGTAATGGCACTAAAACACGGAGTGTGGACTGTAAAAAGAAGCTGGCTGATGGCAACTGGACTGTATTGCCAGATGATCAATGCGATGATAAACCATCCTCGATCATGTCATGTAATGAAATGCCTTGTTACACTTGGCGAGTGGAATACCCCTGCGCTTCCTGTGGAAGTAAGAACTTTATTTTGTTTATAGTTAATAGAGGGGATGGTTGAGAAGCCCGGTATACATCAAAGAAGCAAACAAACAGACTAAGATTTATGTTGGAAGGTCCTTGACCCTGCACATCTTTTGTGTTATG